CTTCAGGGTCCTGCACCAGCCCCTGTGCCGCTCCCCAGAGATTTATTTTCTCCCAGCTCCTACGCAGCCGGGATCAAAGCATGGAAAGCTGTCACTCCCGGCGGCTGCGGGGAGGCAGAGCTGGGCTCTCCCCCCTCCTCCTCCCCAGCCCCCTCTTAATGAGACAAACGAACTGGGAGCAGGCGGGAAGTTTTAATTAGAAGCTTCCAGCCTTTGAGAAGACAAAGGCGAGATCTGCCGCTGCCAGGCAGGAAAGTAGAGCAGGAGAAGGCAGTGACCCTGGTCCCCATGGGACAGCAGCACGCCCGGAGCCCGGTCCACCCTCCCCATCCTGCTCCGGTTGGTCACCTCTGAGGGTGGCTACGAGGAGCTGGTGCAGGCCAGCAGATGTGCCATGGTGCCCAGATGTGCTGTGGGAGGGCAGGAAGGGGGTCACTGAGGTGCTAGGGGACAGTCACAGTCCCCAGGTAGGGATGCTCAGAGCTCCCTGCCCCAGGACTGGGGGTTCGCAGGCAGTTGGTGGGGGAGCCCAGAGGGACAAGGAGACAGGGGGTTGCAGCGACAGGGTTTTAGCGGGGCGAAACAGCACAGAAACGCTCTCCCCCACCTCTAAGCAAAGCAGCAGGAGCCGGGAGGGCAGGCAGCCTCCACCACCCCTTGCCTGCACCCTTGGACACTGAGCAAACAGCCCAGACCCCAACAGGCACAGCAAAGGGGGCAGAAGGCACCCACGGGTAAGGGGAGATGTGGGGTGAAGAGGGGAGCCCACCCCCAGGAGCAAGGGCCTTTTCCAGGCCCGCTCAGACAGGAGCTGCTACCCAACCCTGGCTCCCCGCGCGAGGGGGAGGTGAGAAGAAACAGCCGCACGTCTCCCTGCGCCCCTCTGGTTTGAAACGAAAGGGTTTATTAAAAGCACATGTTATTTCTTAGCATCACCCATCTGTTAGCACTCGACACCCCAGCGCGGATTAGAGAGGGGCTGAGAGGGAACAGCAAAAATCCATCTGCTGCAAAAATACAGAGGGCTGCGCCGAGAGGGGGGACACGCAATGGGGGATGGAGCCAGGACCCTGGGCAGGAGGCAGCGGGGGGTAAGTTTAGGGGTAGAAGAAGGGCTGCAGGAAAGATGGGATAGTGCTCCCAGAGAAAGGAAGAAGTTTGGCACCTGGGTTTGGAGATGGGGAGGGATCCTGGACAGTAGAGCCCATCAGCATAAAAGCTTCATTGGCTGGGGGGTGGGAGCAGGGGGGGCCTTGCCAAGTGCCGTGAGCTCTTTGGTGGTCCTCTTCCTGCCCTTCCAGGCGAGAGTGCCCGAAGGACGTTCTGAGGATGGAAAGAGGAGAGAAAGGGATGAGGCAGCTCCTGGGTAAAAGCAGCAAACCCAGGTCCCCTCCTGACAGAGATCCAGGTGCTGCCAGCTCCCTCCCCCTTTCTACCCCTCTCCAAGCACCCACCGCCCTTCCCTGAGGCTGTGGCCACAGCCAGGAAGCAGCAAACCCCAAACAGCGTCTTCCACAAGCACCAAATGTCCCGATTCCAGGTATTTTCCCCCCCCAAACTGAAATGGGGCTGGCACAGCACCAGTTTGCTGCCTGCCCTGAGGCAGGGATAACTCACACAGACTATACTGCTGCGGGGAGAGAGGGT